ACCATGGTGAGGAAAAGGTGTTGCAATAACTGAGGTGTAACTAAGGCAGTGAGAGTTTGGAAGTGACCTATCTCCATAGCTGGGTAAGAAGTAGCTCAGAGAAGGTACGCAGAAGGAATCCAAGACACCCATGTAGGCCAGGGGAGTTTCAAGACCTGACAGGATCTGAGTCAAGTGTGGTTGAAGGCCAGCTTGACTGATGGGATGGCACGGGGTTGTCCACAGTAACGGATAAATATGGTAACTGTAGGGATTTGGGTGAAGAAGATTGTTGTGTATTCAGTTCTTGAGTTTGGGGGAGGTAAAGATCAAGCCTACTTGGGACTCACAGCAAGTGTTTTAGCTTGAATGGCAGGAGCTGAAGTGGGTGTAAACATTGTCACCACTGCATTTGGGTTTGCAGAAATGAAGAACAGCGAGACCAGTTCTTTTCTTAACATGAGCTTACATCCCTGTGTTTGCACAGATGATATATGCAAACATATATCATCTATTAAACATTCCAAAGATGTGCACCACCTGTAGATGCTGGAGGAAGACACGGGTGACAGAAGTTAATTGCAAACTTGATACACACCTGGACAACATGTGGCTCCTGTGGGATGGGCAGGGTAATAACACTGGGTTACCCGGCAAGACTGTGCTGGGTGGTTTCCACTGTGCCATTTGAATTTCAGCTGATCAGTCGCTGTGTTTTTTGTTACCCTTTGCTCTGACTCACACCGACTTGCAGAGAGTTTGTGCACCTTCTGGTGCGAGATCAAGGGTAGGACCGCTGCCTGTGGTACAACCAACCTTGTTTGTCTTCCAATTTGACTTCCTTTTTGTTGGGTTTTTGGGCAGGTTGATGTGCTGTTAAGGGCTCACCTGATGCTGGACCCGACGCAGAGGAGTGATTCTGGCAGCACTGGTTAGATAATGAGCACTTGCCGGTGTTTTATTGTAGTGGAAACAATGATCCGTTGACCTGAATGAGTCCCTTCAAGAGGACTCCTTCAGAGCGCAGCTGCCAGATGGAGCAGTCTCTTACATCCAGCTTGCGTGTAAATTCTTGGCATCTTGGATTGGTGGTACTGACAACAAAATCTGGAAATGGGGAAGTTGATGGGAGGAGGAGAAGTTGGATCTTCTGAATTTCTTCCACATTGTGCTAAGCTACCTCAAAGTAGTGGGATTCCCACAGCTTCTTCCACTCTCTAGCCTGTGTTTTCTTCTGTCTCAACTCTCCCCTTAGTTGAATCATCCCTCCTGGAGTAATTTCCTCCCCTTCTCTCATGACTCACGAGAGTGATGATGACTTCTTGAAATATATTTTTCAGCATCTGAGTCAGGTGGGACTCCATGTATCAGCGAGGGCAGGTGAGGAGGGAGAAATGGATCCTCTCCTTGAAGTATGAATTGCCGCATCACTCACGTACTCACTCTACTGAAAACATGCCTCCCTGTCTCCTTTGCTGCAGGAGAGAGAAGGGATATTGCCTGTGCTTTGGTGAGGCTTTGTAGGAAGGTGCTAGCTAGCCTTTGGGCACACACGATGGACGCACGCTTCAAGAGTGCCATTCTGATTAGGTGGTGATTCAGTCCAGCCATCAAAGAGCCTGTTTTCCTCTGTTTCTAAGTGAAAATATTAATGCGTCTTTATTAAAGTTAAACTGTGTGCAGAGCACTTATCAATAATACATAGTTTCTTACCTTGTGTGTTGCATTTCTAAGAAGCAGAAATCAAGCACAAGGAAACCAAACTCGGCTGGCTGGCCCTGACAGCCATAGTGCAGTGCTGTGGCACGGGTCTGGCACTAGCAGGACTCTCTGATTTCACACGTGCTTTTTGGAGGACTGCCGGAGACAGGGGTGTGTAGCAAAGAGGGTAATTGTTTCCTAAAATAACAGTCATCTACAAGGGGCTGGTTATTTGGATGCTGTCCCTCCCTTTTTGTTCCGGGCCATCATATCTGATGACAGTCTCATCATGGGACAGAAAAATTCCTAGGAAGATCTTTTTGCAATCCCCACCTGTTCCAGCTGGCACTAGACAAAAGCATCTACAGCTGGCTTCTGGGGGACTTTTACCTTGTGTCCCATGCAGCAGCCTCTATTTGACATGGAATTTTATCACCGCTAACTGCCCTTTTCCCCAGCATCCTCCAATGTCCTTTCTCCATGATGATTTCATTGCTTCAAGCCTGCCCTCACGGTCTCCTTTGGGCTCTGTAGTTCCAGCTGCCTTTTATTCCCAAGCTTTAGCAAGGGGGGAGGTAGAAGAGGTGGTCTTCAATACCAAAAGTACAGCTACTCTCCTTTGAAATGGAAGTAAAAGATATTGCTAAGGTGGAGTAACTCCTGAAGGAGATGACATTAAATTTACACAGCGTATTGCGTTGTGGGGAAGTTCCAGGGATCTCGCTACAGGTGAGGTGTAAGGAAACAGTAGGTGTGTTCCTGACTGGGTAGAAGTTTAAGGGGCTGCTCTTGTCCGCGCTCATGAGCTTGCCCTTGTTAGGGCTGAGAAAGACATCTTCCTTCACATGTGGAAAGGAACGAGGTGGCAGGTTGCCAGATGACTACAAATCCCTGTTGTGTTTTCCTTGTGATGGGAATCACAGCTGGCTGGCTCGTGGATCAACATCATCTGAGACTAGAATTCAACAGGTTGGTTGTTTGCCAAATAGATTCTTTTGCCACTTTTTTTTTTTTAACTTAAATTTCTTATCTCTTCTTTGATCTCTCAGTGTGTTTGGACCCCTCCTTGCCTTTGTATGTGCCCAGAGAGATGTGTACCTAGAATTTAGGGCTTCTTTGGCGAGCTTGTTTAGGAGACCAGCTGTTGGAGTTTGCTGCTGGTGGAGCACTGAGTGAGCCAGGGCAAAGCCATCACCTGGGGGCGGGCATGGCGTGGCCGCCAGCTCCGGATTCCC